CTAAATTATCTTCTAACCCATATGTCTTTGTACTTGCTTACTTGACATCTTAGAACAAGTTTCTAATAACACCAGTGGTAATCTAGCAACTAATGAAACTTCTCATGGATCTCCTCCGAGTCCTCTTCTCCATGCATACATATAATTGTGATCTTACTAAGAACTCATATATAAATGCGCCTAAGGATGGCAATGGGTCAGGTTCGGGCCAGTAATTGGTATCCCTATCCCAATAACTAAACCTGATCCCCGTCGGGGATCTTAACAGATATCCTCATTGAGTCCTCGTTGTTTCCCCGATCCCCGTCAGAAACTCGATAAGGGTAAAAATCTTCATTCTTCGTTGGTTTTTGATGTACATTCCCTCTAATCCCCTCCCCTATTTATATTACCCCTTCTATTGACTTATTGACCGAACTTATAGACCTGTTGACCCAAGGTATAACAATAAACCCCCCCCCCCCCAACTTTCACCTTGAGGGCAAGGTGGAAAGAAAAAGAAAAAGAACGGATACACTATTGCAATTGCAAACCGGATACTTGCAGCTTTTGTTCCAAAGAATCTCTCAACTTCATCCTTGTACCAGCCTGTGAAGTCCTTGACCCCTTGTTGTTCAACTAACAAAGTACCTTTTTCTTCTAATGAAAGATCCCACCCTTTTCCTTTCCAGACAAAGCCCAATGAAGCCAACATCACCTCTACCCTTACCTCTTGAATGGTAGCCTTATTTGCAACCTCCCTAGTAGTTCACCAATTGACTTTGGTAAACATAATGGACAAGACATCCATCTTGCAAGGTCCTTCCACTATCATAGTTCCTTCTCTCTTTAGAAGATATGCAATTTTCATAACATCATTAAGTTTAGAATCATATGTCACTTATATGCTCATATTTGCATTCTCTTCTAGACCGACCAAAAAAAATTCAATGTCAATTGGGACTGTAACTCATTTCTCAACCATCAAACTTTTGTTTCTAACCAAAATTTGATTCTGGTTTATATCAATCTAGATGCCTCTTTTGGGAATTGCAAGGAAATCCTTTGTGGACTCACTGCTCTCGTTTTTAGAATCTTTGATTAAAGTAGGATCCTTGACGAACGGCACTTGGAAGCATATTCCATTAATGATTTTGCTACAAGATGTTTACTAATATCCTCGGCAGAAACGACCAATGTCAAAACCCCTTCTGAGTCTTATAAATACTTTGGCAGAGATAATTGTGGCTTTATTATGAGTAAGAGTGTCGGTTTTATCCAAATTCTCATATCATCTCTCATGAGCCCTCTCCAATGCATCTTCATCATCGATCATAACATCATTATTTACTCCAACTCCAATTGTAACCATGCCACTGGTAAGGGTGAATAGACCAAGTGCAAAAGGCTATCCAACCACGACCATGAATAACATAGGTGCAAACTCTAAGTAGTTGCCATCTTGAGGTAGCCAAACTTCCCCCCTTTTGGTCTCACCCATTTTTGTAAAAGTAGAATTGTAGGGTACCACTACACTAACCCCCTCAATAGTGCCCACTAGCTTCATTCCTTTTGGATTAATTATTCCTATTACAGAATCTAAGTGTACCTCAATTGTTGGTGCCACATTTGTGGCTCCACCACCATTGAGTAGCTCTAATCTCGCCTCTATTTTCTTGTTGAATTCCCCTTCCAATATCCAATTCAAAGCCTTGATGATAACCCGTTGTTTTAAGGCTAATGGCGGCGATGGTTGCAAGAATGTTGAATGCGGTGGAGAAAACGATGTTATTAGCGTCAAGGTTGTAAAACGGTGTTGAAGGTTGTGGTTGTAAAATGATGGCCAAAGTGGAGCAATGGCGGAGTTATTATTAGCATCGATGGTAATTCACGATGAACATCGTCCTACCAAATTCTCCTCAAAGCCGTCGAAAATAGAGGTTTAGACAAAGAGATGATACTCTCTTTTAAGTTCGGGACAGGCTCGGGCCAATGGTAAATGGAATGGGCTTGAATTCCTTCTTTTCCTTCCTTGCTTTTCTCTTCTTCATAGGTCAATGAGTGTCGTCCTCATCGTTAAGTAGAACGCAACGACTGTTTCCTCTGGATTCGGCTTTGATTTCAGATTCCAATTCAGATCTCGACTTAGAATTGGGTCTGATTTTGGGTTCAAATTCAGATTTGGACCTGGATTTCGATTTTGATCTGATTTCAGATTCAAATCCATTTCTGGATCTGGATTTGGTTGTGAACCCTTTCCCTCCCAATCTAGTTTGTTGTCCACTAGAATTTTTGCCAATTCTTTGCCGCCATTGTACAAATGATCGAATGATCTCTCTCCAAGTTCTCTATGTAATTCCATATCATCCTCGTATTCATCATAATCTTCCCTCTTCTCTTTCTTCACAATCTGCAATTCGTCTTTTAACGAACTTAATATTGATCGCATTAACCGAGGGTTTCCAACATTTTTGGTTGTTGACAACATACTCCTTAAGATCTCCTAATACCTTGATGTACATTCATCATATTGATAGAGAAATCAAAAGATTGCAATCCCTACAGATGGCTTACAATAATTCCCTGGCTTTTGAGAGATCAGGTCTCTCCTAAAGGTTCACCCCTAATTGATTACAAAACACAAGGTCTTTCCCTCTAATCCCCTCCCCTATTTATACCACCCCTTCTATTGACTTATTGACCTAACTTATAGACGGTATGACAGTTTCCCCGTTCACCGTTGGTAATCTCTGGAGCCAAAATCAAATTCGACCTGAAAATTGGAGAGGAATTTGAAGGGGAAGCCTATTTCCAATTTGAGAGAATATTGAAAGGAATTTGAAGGTGAGGCCTGTTTCCAATTTGAGAGAATATTGAAACGAATTCGAATGTGTGAATGTAGAACTATTGGTACTTTGATTTCTTAGACAAATTTTTCCAGAGCTTAAAACGAGAATTAAGACCAAAACAAAAGCTTGGGATTAAAAAATTCTTACTTGATTTGAAGATGTTTATTTATTAAGTAGGCTGCAAATGGCATAACTTCACAAATTTGATATCTCGAATCAATCTGGATTTTCAAGAAGAAGGCCGCATAACTCTTCAACATTGAGAAATACCCAAGATTTTTGTAGTTGATGGAGAGGCACAAAGATTGAAGCGGCATTTGGGGGTTTACAATTGAGAGGGTTGGGCTAATGGCGGCAATGTAACGAATGGTTTTTTTAGTGATATATATATATAACGGGACGGGATGGCGATCGGCGTCCCTGTCCCCAAAACCGATATAATCGCCAAATTCGTCCTCGAAAGTTGAACCCGACCGAAATTTTTGGTTTTCATCATCGGTTTCAATTTTTTTTGCCATCCCTAAATACGCCTGATCTTGATATTGCAAGTTGTGTTGGTAAATACATCATACGTGTTTTGGCTGCTCTAGTTTAGACTTAGGCTAGTCCCATCATTGCGTAAATCATTGCATGAAGAATGTCTTCCCTTGAGTTGAGGCTAGTGTGACATGGGATCTTGTTGATCTTCAAGCCGAAAAGAAATTTGTCGGTTGCAAGTGAGTGTTCCCTATCAAAATGAACCCAGACGGGTTTCTTTTGCTTGTCTCAAAGACGAACTTGTTGCCAAAGATTACTCTCAAGAATATGGGAAAGACCATAATATGAGACATTTGGCACAGCTACTAAAATGAGACATCTCATTATTGCCCACGCAACTTGATACTAAAACGCATTTCTCCATGTGTTTGAGAGGACTCTTATGTGTACAACCACCGGGTTTTATAGTTGAGGAGTCCTCTGAAGCATGCTACTCCGAAGATCACTTTATGGCCGTCAACGAGCTCGGGAAGGCTGGTTTCTTCAATTTCTACATGCTTTGGAAACTTTGGAGTGATTACAAGTGTTTGTGATACTCCGTGTTCTTCCGACAGCAACATGGTAAAAGGATCATATGGACATTCTATGTTAATGATTGTTATCACTGATGTGATTAGAAGAGATGAGAGGATCTGGCTACCAAACCTTTATTTGAAAAGAATTTCAAACCAAGGATCTCATAAATCTTAAAGTACTTTTAAGCTATTGAGTTTGCTTGATCTCGCAAAGGAATCTTCCTTTGTCAGCAAAAATATGTACATGATAGTCTTATCGAAGTTATCCTTGGAAGTCGGCATCCTACTTTCCAATGATCCAAACATCAAGCTATATCTAGGAGAGCTCCTAGAAGACCTTGGAGATGCCGAAGATTGGTTGAGAAATTAAATTATGGTACTTACACAACACGAGATATCACACTAGTCACTAGGATGCAATTTTCTATACACCAAAGTACCTTAAAAGAGAGGACGTATATGTTGGAAATTTAGTTGTTTCCGATCCTCTCTTGTAGTATACATATACGTCCCCCTTTACCTTGAAGTAGACTCACGATAATGAGAAATCCCTTGCAAGCAATAAGAATTAACAATAGTGTGTGTCGGAATATGAGAGCTTCATCTCAGGCCTTCAGTTGAAACACCACAAAATGAACTATAGTAACAGATCAAACCAAACGTATAGATATTTTATTGCAAAAGAAATTAAATAATTGAATATTGATAGCATGAATTGTCCCTGAAGAATCATCTTATCTGGATATTTCAGTAAGAAAACGTGAACAGCAAAATACGGCAGCAAGTTGGCAGGTGACATTAAACAGTAAGGAAAGCAAATGTTCTATTCATTCACAATAGTTAAGATAATTATACATCCATTCCTTATTCGTCTGGTTGTGATTCCTATATCGATCAAAACTTTCATGTTCAGGACAAACTGGAGTAGCTGAATTTGAACGAATGAAGCCAAATCACAAAAAGATGCAGCAATAAATCAAGCAAGACCTGATTTCGTTCTATTAGAAAATGTCTTACAATGTAAACGGCCGAGTAGACATGCATTTCTCCAATGAATGCTCTACAAAAAGAACATATATATATATGTAGAATAATCATGTATGAGAAAGTCGAAGACCACCTGCTACAATATCACGTCCGATAAGACTCTCATTGTAGAAGTCACTTTAATTTATGTAATTACTGTAGGCTTTTCCCTTCCAGTGAACTCCTTTAGCTTCGATACAGACAGTGCCAGATCTGAGAAGACACCCACATAAATTAATGAAATACTACAATTAACATAATCAGTAACGAGATCGTGAACAAACCTATCAAAGGTTTCAGTGCCACTTGGGCATCCAAGTCATGTTTTGAGACATCAGGCTCAAACTGTTCTATGTATATTCTAACAGTCGCACCTGCTGAACCAGTCCCCTGTAAATTTTAAAAGGTATGTTTAATCCACGGAGTTAGCTGATGTAGTTGTAGAGCAGATATTAGAAAAATGTAAATGAACAATATGGGCTGGTGCAGACCGATAAACGAAATATGATCCTTGACCCATCTGTGAAGACAAATCGAACACCTTGCTTTGAAGCTACACTTCCATCTACCTAGTAAATTTTCCAAAGCTTTCAGCAACATTTCAGCTAATGTGTGTGCACATCAACTATTCAACTTACAGGATCTTTATATGTGAAGTCATCTGCAAATTGAAGACTATAAACCCCTGCAACGTTGTACCTCTGTAAGGATCAAACTCTCCAGTGATTGTACTTCTCTAAAAACTTATTGAACTATGGACTGAAAACTCACCATACTTGTCCCCTTGTTTGCTTTTAGAAATCAAGTCTCTAAGATAATTGATCATTTCATTAGCTCCTGCAGATTCACATTCCTGGGCCCACCAGTGATGCCAGAATGTAGCAGTGAAAACACAAGGTCAGTGCACTCAACTTTAAGCAAGTTTTGCAAAATCAATCATGAATATACAAATGGCAATTACTTCATAGTCGTATCTAGAGAAGTAGTTCCTGCCATAAGTGGCCCAATGCTCCTTTACAATTTCAGATATAGAAATTAATTCCTCTCCAGGGTTCTTGTTTTTGTTTTTGTATGCAATTATAGACAGCCAAGCTAGCACAGCCCTGTCAATCACATTACAAAGTCAAATAGAACTCCACAATACTGAATTTAATTAATTCTAAACACATTGTTATAAGCCGGAGCACTAAAATACACAATGGTAGTTATAAAGTCGAAGACAAAAGGGGGCATTTTTAACCAATGTGCACTGTGTGTTGACCTACAACGGTATGGATAAAAGATGCCCTAATTTGCCAACCTGGGATTCTTGTGGGGTTAGGTTGAGTCAGCGTACCGTATAAGGGTTAGTAATAAAGGGCAAACAGCATATATGTCCGTTGTTAATCATGGATATCAGACACAAAGTAGATGGGATAAGTTAATTAACTTTTTGAACCTTCAATAATTTGACACATTTTAAATATGTTCACTTGTTCAGTAGTGTTTTTAGCAGCATAGCTATCCTCATTACAGACTGAATATATACGAGTCAGTGTACCATATAAGGGTTAGTAGTAATGGGCAAACAGCATGTATGTCCATTGTTAATCATGGATGTCAGACACAAAGTAGATGGGTTAAGTTGATTAACTTTTTGAACCTTCTATAATTTGACATATTTTAAATATGTTCACTTGTTCAGTAGTGTTTTTAGCAGCATAGCTATCCTCATTACAGACTGAATATATATGAGTATTAATAGACATTTTTCATGAATGGTTCTTTTTAAGTTTCATCGTCTTTTACTTTGAAAACACTCTTTATAAATATGTTTGCTTTACATTGCTGATCAGTATATAACCAGTATTTTGACTTCACCGCTGCTTCATTTAAAATGGTCAGCAGAAAGCAAATTAGCACATATCCAACATAATCAGTGTCTTAAGGAAAGGACATACCCGCCAAAGAGGAGGATAGGCTTAAGGACAAGATCATTTGTATGTAATAGTCTTCTAATTACTTGTAATAGACTAATACATACTCTGTCCCAGAAAGAGAAGTCCGCTTAAATCTAGAAGGAGCTTAAGAACAACTTTTTGGGACCATTTATGCAAGATTAGACATAAAATAACAAATGGCTCCCATAAAAATCATTAACGAATGGGCAATCTGGCAATATCAATTTGGTCTTAATGTTGATTCCACTAACATAATCTTTTTGGACAAATAAGCATTGAAAAGGGAACTTTTTGTATGAGAGAACACAGAATAAGCCGCTAAGTAATTGGAGCAAGAAAATGAGGATGACACCATAACCAATAAAATGTGGCCGTCTGATAGAGCTTGCAGTACTGCATGCAGAGAATTAACCAAGCAAAGGCATGTCAAGAAGAAAAAAAGAGGGGACCTCCTAGATCTCAAGAACATAGAGAACAGGGAAGAGTAATTTAATATTAACAGATAATTATTCACATATCAAGGTGTGATGGTTCAAGAAGATGCTTCAGAACTAATGCATTGCTATGCAGTAGCACAAGCTTTTGGGGTGCTTATGTTCATTCCTCAAGGTGACATGTCTTGAACTTGAAAACATAAGGGGCCCCAGTGGTTGACCAAACCAGAGTATCATTTAAGTAGCAGAATGATACCAATATACAAGTTTACTGGTGAGTGGCATTCAGTACAGTTAGACAGTATACAAACTGATGCACAGTCCTTCCTAATTTTACTGCTTTTTTCATCACTCCATGTGTGGCTACAAGAAACCACTCACTGGAGTTAGCTTAAAAGGAAGGGCTGTTCGCCTTTAGGGATGAGGTAATAGATCACGATTAGCATCAACACCTCATGGGACTATAATACAAACTGGGGAGATGCCAAGCATCCAGAACAGATAAGATCAACTCTACAAAGTATCATAAAAGAGAATACATTGTTGGACCAAACCAGACATGTACCATATACCATCCTTCTCACGAATGTGGTCAGAACCTGTCCCAAAACTTTCTTCCCCGCAAATTGATAAAGTTCCAGCATCCATCAAGTTCCCAAAAAATTTCCAACCAGTGGGAACCTGGAACCAAATTTTTCAGTCGGTACAGATCACACTTCTACATAGAAGGGTTTTTTAGGCAGAATACCATCAAAATAGAGCTAAAATTACAAAAAAGAAAAAACAAAACCTCAAAGAAAGGGAGATTCAATTTCTCAGCCACACGGTCAAGTGCACCACTTGTTGGCATAGACCGCGCTAAACCCTACAATTATTATAGCCTAAGTAAGTTTCTGTTTACACAAGATAAAAGAATTTTCAAAACCTTTTTACCTTTGGGCCACTCTGAAAATATGGAATAGCTTCTTGTGCATTAGCAGCAATAATAGCAACAGAGTCTGACGGAGTCACAAAAAATTGTCTACCGAGAATCATATTTCTATCACCATCTCCTGTAAATCATTGTAATAGAAATTTCAGGATGCAGTCTGCAATATAAGGTTTATCATAGTTGAGCCCTGATAACAGCTTAACAAGTTCAGAGAAATCAACTGCCTACAACACCCATCTCCCTTGAATGCTATATTTAAGTTCCAAATACAACAGAAAGATGACCACAAGATAAATTAGACAGAACAACCATATCAAACAGAAAGTGGAAACAGAGAGAATAAGAAGAAGCCTGAGTATGAGATAGTAACTATAAACAACCGCAAAAAACATACTTTCTTCGAGATGACATGCTGTCAGATAACAAAGGATCTACACAAATGGACACTACTTCTGAAGCTCATAATTTTCTACTATTATACCTTGTAAAGTTGCAATTGATATGCAGTAAAGCCTTTGACCAAAACTGATTTCTTTATGACTTGCTGTTGAAAGCTTGCAGGTGTATGATTTCAGTTAAACAAATATGGAATGCGTACAAATTAAGATATTACCCAGTATTATCTGGAAATTGATTATAGTTATTTGGTATGCTCTATGCTAGCGTTCACACCACTCGCCCCACCCTTTTCTACTTTAATACTATTATAAACTATAGAACACGAATAAATCCTAATTTGAGAGAGGTGAACAGTCGAGTATTTAAAAAGCTTAGTGAGTCAACAGCTTTAAATAAATAGCTCCTCCAGTAGCCTGAAAGTTCATGCCCACAGAAGCTCAGCAGCAGTCAGTGAACAGAAACTGAACAGAACTTTAAAGGCCAAAGAGAAAGAACCTAAATTAGCTTGAACATCTGCAACCAATTGGGAATGCATTGGCAAATTATAGATTCACAATAGAGAAGAAATGAAGATTTCTAGTATTGATTCATCCCTTGCCCAGAGGAGCCATCTCAATATGTGGAAACTTTTCTGCTTTATTTGCTTAAACATCAGTCGTGCTCTCTTACTTTTTTATGGTCTCTTTTGGGGGTGAGTGGAATAACGACAATCTGTCGAACTATGCTGAAAAAAAGTAAACATACTTGACACCAAGTATACATACAAAACGCTTGATTAAGATCAGTATACCAATAGATTAAGCTCCAACCATTATTGCTACAACTTACCGTCACTTGCAGCTCCAAAATCAGGTCCATTGTCACTATACATAATGTTGACCAAATCCTTTGCATACCTTCCATCAAAATAAAGAGAGTTAACAAGGCGAAGTCTTCATGCTTAAAATCAAAGAAATCCTGCTAATAGCCCGAGTCCTTACGTTAGATTGGGATCAGGATGACCGTGCCCGAAATCTTCTAGAGGCACTCCGTTACATATTGAATCCTGCATGAAAATCCATTCAGTAATATGACTATAAACAACTACTGTAGCAGCTCGAATAGCAGCCATCCACACAAGATATTACACATTTATAACATACCGGACTAGCTCCAAGCTTATCTACAAAAATTGGCTTTGCATAAGCACCTGTGACCGCATGCATTGCATCAAACGTAAACCTGACAAAATATGGACGGATAAATCATAAGCTTAGCCTGTCTCCCTTAAATGGCGCCCGCCACACCGAACACCAGAGATTTGGACAAATGGGACAACAAAATAAGGAATTGACAAAAAGTATATTGGTACACTAGCAATCATGAACATGATAAAGCATTAAAGCATGTCACATGTTTATACCTGAAATCTGACCGAGAAACAAGACTTCTGATTAGTGAAAAATCAAAGACATCCTGCACCGAAGACACGAGTAAATGATACCAAATTCAAAGGAAGATCATGTATATAGAGAGGGTGCACTGTTTTTTTCTTTACCTCCATCAGATCCAAATAATCAGAGACTGGATCGACTATCTCCACGCTAAAGTTTCCATATTTTGTAATTCCAACACTTGAAAGATCAACATCTGGAATATCTGCTAACTTTATTTCAGATATCTGCATAGCACTAGTAGAATTTAGAGCTCAGTGCAGAAACATAAGAGAACTGATTTCTTCTAGAAGCAAGATAATGTCATTCTAAAACAAAATGTATTCGACTCTTCTGCAGTTCCACCCAAAAAAAAAGAAATTAACATGAGCAGAAAAGACATACAAAATTGACAAGGGAAAAGGAAACTAACAAACAAGAGAGATTTGCATACTAAGATGAGCAGAAATGTGGCAATGTCTACTATAGCATATATAGATAAGACTATCAATGAATCAGATGATGACTCACAACCGTTATAGTTTATACAAATTATTATCCTTATCACTTTAAAGTGAATATTATTTGTATTTAATAACACATAATGAAATCAAAAACAAATATGAATATCATAACCATACATTCAATCTTTATAATATCCACTTCAGTAAACATTTGTTAGATACATCCATTTACATATTAAAATATCACTTATCTCTATTCAATAGACAATACTATTTACCTTTGACTTTTTCTAACTTAAAAAAGTCATAAGAATGTAAAGTCCCAAGAATCAGGTGAAAATTTTAATGGTGTTCATTAAGTTGATTTTGTTAAAGCAGTGTAGCAGTTGCAATTGGCATGGTAGATTCCCTCCTTTTTTGTAGCTATTGAAGGGTATACTAGACATCTACTATAATCTAATGCTTCTATATGCTTTTCAAAAAAAAATAATGGTTCTATAAGCTATAAAGTCAAACATCATAACTCTATGGACAAAGGGAGTAGAAGACAAACTGTCATGTAGTTATTCCCATGTGAACAAAAGTACTTCAAATTGTAACAAAGTTACAGATTTATTTATAATCATAAGATGTGATTTTTCCCAAATTTGGACTTCAAGGAAACTTTGATTAAAACTGAGTAAAAACAAGCAAAGCTAATAAAAGCAGCAAACTTAAGGCAATTGTTCTGATCAACCGTAACCAAATTTTCTTTTACCTAATGTTGAGAAAGTCCGTTGCCACACATCGAGACAAATTAATTATATACTACACAGCTATACTCATGGGTACAGAAATATAGATCATAAACAAGGAGCAATCTATAGACATGTACGAACAAACATACAGAGATAGAGGAGAAATAACATACAGAAAGTGTGTTTCCGTAGATCATATCAGTGATGGACTCGGGAGCAGGTTGCCCACTGCTGTAATTGAACTGCAAAGAAAACACAATGTGTATCAGAATGTACTTCTTGATGAAGCAGAAAGACAATATTTAGATTATGTGATGGACCTCAAATTTCTCAACAATGGCAAAAAGACACAAGAAATGGAAATATAAACCAACTGCTATATCAGATACCCTAGGGTTGCCGTAAGCATCAGCTAATAATGCCTCTGAATAAGTTGGGAACACAAGTCCATGATGTGTGCGCAACAATTATAGGTAATGAAGAACAGACATACTAAATATTCACCTTGATGCCCCAATCATATTCAGGCCCTCCAGGGTTATGGCTTGCACTCATTATGAAACCACCATTTGCCTGAAAATGCAACAGTACATATGAGTGGTATTTTAATTAAACTCACATTATATAAAAAGCAAATATGAAACTGCTCTTGCCTTTCTCTTCCTTATAATAGCAGATACAGCTGGTGTCGACAAAATACCTTCCCTTCAAAGACAGGATTATAAGGTCATGATACAGCAATGATAGATGCAATCTGAATAATTGTACCACATTCTAAAAGGAGAACATTGCCAAGGCATTTGAATCTAACATCAAAAAATTGAATTTTCATTAAACAAACATAAAATAGAAGTGGTGTTTTCAAAAAGCATGAATACACCAGATAAATGACCATGTACTGTTTCCTAACTCAAGTAACACATGTTGGTGATTCAACCTTATCAACAAAATCTGATCCTTGTTTCTAGAAATTCTAAAATCACAGACCCACAAACAGTAAATAGATGCAACAAAAAAAATTATCCCCATCTTGCGAGTTAAAATTTTCTACTGTCTCATCGATATAATAAAGATTAAATTATCAGGAGACTCACTTGCCGACCAAAATTTTACCAACTCCATTTCCGGCAGCAATTTTAATAATCAACTGCATTTAAGATTCATCCATTGTGTAGCAAATTAGACGTACTATTCAGTTCATAAAGCATTTCAGATGATATATGAATAGAACTTACCTGTGCAGCTTCTTTGTTAAAATATCGACCATCGCCTCCTAATACTAGCAACGCATTCTTATAATCCTCAGGTGGCAACGAATTAAATAATGCCTGATTACAAACATATGAATCAAATATATTTCAACACTAAACCCAACTAAGAAACCCTGACACATAGATCAATTCACCATTTTAAACCAATTAAATTCAAACCTGAATCCAATTTGCAAGGTAATTTTCTTCCATAAACACTTTAACCTTATCAAAGTCAAAATGAAACGTCAGTCCACGTCGAAAGGATAATAGCCAACATAATTAATAAAATCGAAAAGAGAAAGAAACCGACCTTCTTCCGGAGACCACTAGTTCCAGTTTTCTGACCTTCGATCGGCTTCGTAGGAATTGTATTAACCTATTGATACAAAAAAAGAAGACAACAGTGAGCACCATTGAATAAAGGCCACACCTTTACACGCATATCTTTACCTTTAGATCTTGGGACTCGGTGAATGTTGTAGAAGGAGAAGAAGCTTTCATTGCGGAAGAGTATTGTCGAGTTTTTGGAGTTAGTATCGTGGAGAAGAGTAGGGGGGACGATGGGGAACAGGTTCTGAGGGAAGAGAATGAAGCGGCAGTGGTGGTAGCCGTGCTGAGTCTCTGGAGTGATGGAAGAGAGAAAATACAGGTTCCTAAACCGGCGGCCATCGCCATTGCTCTGTAAGCTTTGGATCAGCACCGGAATGCGGTGTCGAGCGAAGATTGACGGTGGGAGAGAAATGGAGGTAGGGAGAGAGATCGACGGTGACGGAGAGTTCGGATTTGAAAATCTAATGCCAGCCACATAGTCGACGAATGGCTTATCGGGTGTTCACCTCGGCTTACGTGTCGTTGCGTGATAGGCCCGCTTGCTTTTTGCTGGCGCGAGATCACGGTTTGGAACTTGGACCCGTTCTTCACGTGACTAGCATGTGTGTGATTAAGGAAATTTTCCTCCGGGTATATTTTTATAAACCTCCCTTCATTTATGTTCATATTACACTTAATGTCCTCATATTATGAAAAACGATCTCAATAGTCCCTTAACATCACAAAAAGTATCATTTCACTACAAACTTCTTTGGTAAACGGAAACGGTTGAGAGTTGGGATCGAAACAGAAAAGATGTATTGAACTATAACTAATATGGTCGTCGCGCTTTTTGGAATGAATGTCCTCTAATTACAAAATTAACGAATGTCGATGTACCAATTAGAAGTCTTGTTTTGTTTATAATTGTTGTTGTAAAATTTATCATAAGCTTAGTTTGTTTAAGGTTCCTCCTTGAACGATTTTGATGTCAGCCCTCAGCCTATTAGGTTTCATAACATCTTATTCGGGAAAATATGCATTTCAAATGGTGTTGTTAACTTGTGGTATTTGTCGCTTGTATGCCCTTGAATTTGTGGCTTGCTTTGTGTTTTGTCATTTGCAACGGTTGGTCTCTTTTGTTTATTTTATACCTTTGAGATTATTAAAAGTTTTCATTATGCAATGATTCCTTTGGTTTTCCCCCAACTTTGTTCCATCAATAAGTATAATTTTTATATGAATTAGATTATCTGTTTTCGTTTACTACTTAACAATAATATTTATCAGATAAATTATTGAACACACTGTATAGTTGGTTTCTTGTTTTTTACAATATGTTATATTGTCTTTTACAGTTATTTGTAGGTATAAAAAAGAAATATTTACGCCATCTTTAGTGGTGGATCTAAGATTTTTGGTAATGAGGGTTAGAAATTTTTTCATGGATATCTTGTGCAAATAGATTCTGCCATTTTTAGGTTAGGTTATTTGGAAGAAGAAGGAGAAGAATATTGTCATTATTACAGTTGCTTCCTGGGTTTGAGAGCTGGTTGGCAAGCATAAGACGATTGGCTACATCTATTAATCCATCATAACATGGCTTCTCCGTATCCCATCCAACTTCCGGTCATCCAATTCATTTGGAAATAAATTGAGAAAAACAGGATCAAAGACGCTAAGGGTGTACTTCTCCTATGTCATCTCTTGTATCAAGCAATACTTACAGTTATTTATAAATGAAAAAAGAAGCAGTGAGAGAGCTTAATTGAAAAGAAAGATTCACATACATCTTTTGGTGAATGACAAAAAGGAGTGGTCTTGTGCATGTGCCTAACGGAATTAAAGGTATGAAATGGTACGTTGGTGTTAGGGACGTACAAAAGCTATCTACTTCTTATGTCTTTTTATTTTTTATTGGTGTGTTGTTGTTAGGGACTTGGTTTTTGGATCTTTGAGTCGTAGATTATAAAGATGTGGATACGATATGTGAATGTGTAAGTGATCCACTTGCAATTGCAAAAGCTATATGCTTCATTGTACCATTTTTATTTTTGTTGTTGCCGAACTTATGCGTCCAATCCATTTCATGAGGGCGTTGCTTGCCTACTCTTATCAATTCTTATTTGGATTATACCAAGTTTACTTGTTTTATGTATACAATGGTTGCAAACCTTACTATCTGTTGGTTTTTTGAAATTTGTATTTGCTGTTGTTCTTCAAGTTTCAAGCAGATAAGAAAATATTCGGCTACCAATCAACCATCTTTCACTGCCAACAAAAGAGGTACTCTACTCATTTTGTCTTTGATTCTTTTATCGTTGGTTATTCCGAGATTATTACCAGGTAAGAATGATTAATTTGTTGGTTTGATTGGCTAAAAAATCTATTTCTTCTCCTTAGGTTTTGAATCGAGATTCACCCCTTAATTTGATGGTAGATGCTTACCGGGTAAGAGTCGTCACTCTCACTTATCGGATAAGACTCTCGGTCCTTACATCATTCTTACTGGTTAAGATTATCAATCTTTGTCATGTTCATCTAATGCGGTAAAGTGACACAGTAAGCACTTATCGGGTAAGCCTTTAGCAAACGGCTCCTAAATTACCATCAACCAATTAATGAATTTCATACTTTGATATATCTTCTTTATGTTTTTGTATTTTATAATACATGATTTAACCACGATGAAAGGAGGGTTCATCTAACATCCTCAACCACGTAATACAAATGTTATTTGAATAAAACCAATTTAGAACATGTTTAGTTGCTTCTTTATTATTTTTCTAAAACGAAAAAAACAAACATAAAAATCGGACACTTATACTTGTGTGATCCCATGCCTAATTATTAGATATTCATCATCTAAAAAGAAGCAATGTTAAATCTCATTACTTATGGAGGATTCTTGTGTTCTAAATAATCGTTCATATCTCTTTATTATTCTATAATCCGTTGAATCCATTATTGTGAAGGATATGCCACATTTGTGACAACAGTTAAACACCGACACTGAGTTACAAATGTAAACATCATTTCTTCTACTTCAAGCCATCAAGTTGTAGATTACAGTTTTAACGCCGATGAGTTACGATTGTTTGTTGATACCCACAAGATACAGTTGTAAGTAGGGGTGCTCAAAAACCCGATGAACCCGACCAACCCAACCCGATTTAAAAAAAAAACCCAACCCGAGGTAACCCGATGCGTGATCGATAAAAAAATTAGCCAACCCGACCTTATTGGGTTGGAATCGGGTCAGGCCCAAAAAAACCCGACCAACCCGACAACCCGATGAACCCGACCTTAACTTTAGCTTTGAATTGTATATGACAATCTTGACATGACCAACCTCAACGTCAAGAAAGCGAAAACATCGAGGTTGGAAACGTCTAAAACTATTGTTGTTGATTGATGTATTATCATTTGGTTTAAACATTTTTATTGTAATATCTAAATATTTGATGAACTTGCATCTTATCTTGAATGGTCAGTCGTATTTCAAAGGAAAGTTTCCTTTATTTTTATGTGATTTTACATTATTTAAACACAACCCGATCAACCCGAATGAGTTGGTTGGGTTAAACTTTTGTTTGGGTTGGGTTGGGTTGAAAATTTTCAAACCGCCAACATTGGGTTGGGTTGTTAAAACGGCTCCAAACCGATCAACCCGGGCCGTGAGCACTCCTAGTTGTAAGCATATAAGTTCTTTTATGAATTCCAACAATATTACAATTCTGTTTGGGTAAAACTTGTGCACATATTATTACACAATATATATACACATACACACATATATATAGGTGGAGGTTCAAACGTGAACATCTCCATTTTATAAGAACGCGAGAATACCCTTATCACATGTGATAATACGCGTGAAGGGACCATGTGATGTGCAGACGACGTGTTCTACGACTTAGGTCGCACCAAAGGTTGTCTGCGTCAATGATTTAGCATCACATGTGATGGTCTTGATGGATTATAGTATCATATCAACAACACCCTTATCACATGTGATAATACTTGTGAGGGGGCTTAGTGGTGTAAAGGCGACTTGGCTCGCAACCAAGATCGCATCGAAAATCGTCCGCGTCTCTGATTTAGTATCACATGTGTATCATATGTGATGGAATAATAATATCACATGCGATTGTCTATACTAAAAGGATGTTCTCGCGTTCTCGTTTGAACCATTATATATATATATATATAGGGTTGGGTTAACTTGAGACCAAGGGTTTTTCGTGAGACCCGTAAGACCAATTTATGTTCATTGATCAACTTTATAAGCTAATGATCTAATGGTCTAAAGTTGTACGGTGGCAATTTTATGATTATTGAGAAGTCTCGTGACAATTTTGTGATTATGAATGTTCAGATTGTAGATCTAATCCAATAGTTGAGAATTGGTCTTACGGGTCTCACGAAAAACCCTTAGTTTCACATAATCTCAAGTCAGTCTATATATATATATATATTTTTTTTTTTTTCCTAGGTGAAGTCTTAGCATAGTAATTATAATCTTATGGTTGTTTTTTTTTTCCATATAATAATATTTGTAAACCGTTGCATTTTAATTTGTACCAGACTTATATTTGTCTATGCTTCATATCATATAATAATATTTGCTTATTCTTTATATTATATAACTTAAAATTTTATTTGACTGGTTTAACTTACCATTAGTAATTTTATCATAAAATTTCACATTCCACCATATTGTACGAATACATAACTAGTTAAATATTATAATTTTCTCTTTTTCTTTTGGTTTGAAATAATATTTAAAATTGGGTTACTAAAGGACATTTAATTTTAGATTTCAATGTTTTTTGTAAATTCAAATGTATTTTAATTATAAATTTTGGAGTTTATAATGAACATAAACTATATACATTTAATTTACAAAAAATGTTTGAGATCCCAAGGTATTGCATGTGTACCCAAACTAGTGTTTATATATATATATATATATAATCTTAAATTATTTTGAGAAGTGGTAAATATTTGAGAAGTAAAGAAGTGATTCTAGCATTTATACCGTCAAAATCGGATTTAACTGGTCAAAAATTACAGCTTTGACAGGTCAAAATTTACGACTATGCGAAAACTAGATGGGTAATTATGTAACTTTTATAAATAGCGGCAAACGGATTCATATGTGAACTCGTGTGATTCACATATGAACCAATTAACTGATTCACATACGAACCAATTAATAGATTCACATATGAACATGTGGGTTCATATGTGAATCAATTAAAATAAATAGCTCACATGTGATTCACATATGTTCATACGTAAATCACATGGGTTCGCATATGAACACTTTGCCGCTTATTTGTTAAAATTACGAAACTACCCCTCTATCTTCCGCATATCTGTGCGAGGAATTATCCACAGTTTCACAGTCAAAGTCGCAAATATTGACTAAATGAAAGGTTATTATCACTTCTTTACTTCTTAAATACTTACCACTTCTCAAATGAACATTTCCCTATAGACACACACACACACATAACCAAAAAAATGATGTTAACTGTGTGAACTCGTTGAACCAATCAGAATTATTCTTTCGTCATGCTTACTTCAAATGTTAGAGTCAATCATTAGAGTCAATCATTAATGATACATAAATATTTTTCATTTGTAAGTTACTTTATTGTATTAAATGAGATGTTACAAAAAAAATACTTCGCATATTTTTAGGCATGATAATTATATTTTCAAGATTCTCAATGGTTATGTTCAAATTAATTTAAATGATGGATAATCAAAATGAACACAATACCATTAAACATATTGATTCAAATGATTATTCATTTCTAAAGTTTTGAATGATATATTCATTAATGAACCCAATTCACATGATGCTCATGTGTGAACGAGATACACTAATCCACAAGTAAAATCGATAAAAGGTACATTAGTGAACAATTTTCATAACTACCAACTTCTGTTACTTAATACTTATCATATAAATGTTCATTGGTGAACTACTAAACCATTCATAAGTGAACAAGTAAGATGTGATTGATTTCAGTTTCAAAGGTAGTGTTTGGTATGCAGACTGGACGGGACGGGACAAGACTAATTGTTTGTCCCATGTTTGGTACGACTAGGACAGGACAGGACAAAACTGTTAAAAATAACCATATTACCCTTAAATGTTGTTCAATGTTATTTTATATCATATAATGATTGTAAAATGATATACAATAACAAAGATCATTAAGATACTTATCATACTGATATACAATGACAATGAGATCACTGTAAATAACTCATCCGTGGCTTTTCTTTTTCAGTCCTCACGATTAAGTTAGTTGATTTTTCTTTTCATCCTTATTACATCTGAGTTAATTTATATGATTTTTTGTTGCAACATTTTTTTTCTCAGGTGATAGCACAAAATCTTCAGAAAATTGACCCAAAGTCTGATGGTGCAAAAAAGGATTGGGTTGCTATCTATGATGAGTGTGCTAATGTCTTGTACCAGGTAACTCTTTTCTAGCCCCAACATCTTATAAAGTGTGATATTAGTCCAAACAACAACTTGTGTCCAGGTGTTCTACAGTGTATACAGTTCCTTGTTACAATTTTATTGTTTCCCATGGATTTTAGAAGTTCATATAGTTGGGGTTTACAGTTGGTAATCAAGAATCCAAGAGAAGGAACGATGTGGAATCGTACGCAGCAAAGAATCGCAAAAAAGAAATCGTACACAGCAAAGAGAAATCATACGCAGCAAAGAAACGAGAGGGAGAAATCATATCAAATATGGAAGGAGGTGGTGGAAGAAGTCGGTGTGGAAGGAGGCGATGTGGAAGGAGCTCCTCGTGGAATGGTGGAAGAGAGACGATGATGAAGGAGAGCTTAGGTAATTAGGTTTTCTATTGGAAACAAGGGTAATATAGTCAATTTGTATTTAGTCCCATGTTGTTCCACCTTTTGGTGGAACAAAAATCATCAAGTTTTGTCCCATCAAATTTAAAAATAATCACATCTTGTCCCATGTATTTTTTGTCCATGGCATGCCAAACATGGGACTATTTTTTTTTGTCCCGTCCCGTCCCATGTAGTCTGCATACCAAACACACCCAAAAGGATGAATGAGAGATTCATGAGAACTGAAATCGATGCATAATAAAAGCTCATGATCTTTCCAATTTTACCCTATTCACTATTGTTCATTTAGACATAACACGTATTCATTTTACAAAAAATCCACCAATGTTTTAATCCATAGATTGAAATAATTAAAGTCCATAATTGATTCACATAGTTAATACCAAATATATGGTTAACAAATGAACCAACCCC